CAATGGAAAAAGATCAAAATTTAACTGGAAATTAAATAATCTGATCCTTAAAAATAAGTGGGTCAAAGAACAAGTCATAGAAACAATTGATAATTTCAATAAAGAAAATGACAACAATGAGACAACACACCAAAATGGTATTTAGGGTGAAATTTATATCTCTAATTGCTTACATCAATAAAATAGGGAAAAAAATAGATCAATAAATTGGGTATGTAACTAAAAAAACTAGAAAAAGAAGAAATTAAAAATCCCCAATTAAACACCAAATTGGAAATCCTGAAAATCAAAGAAGAGATTAATAAAACGGAAAGTAAGAAAACCGTTGAACTAATAAATAAAACTAGAAGATAGCTTTATGGAAAAAAAAAAAAAGGTAAACCATTGGTTAATTTGATTAAAAAAAAGAAAGAAGAAAACCAAATTACTAGTATCAAAAATGAATAGGGTGAATTCACCACCAATGAAGAGGAAATAAAGGTAATTGTTACCAGCTATTCTGCCCAATTATAAGCCAACGAATTTGACAATCTAAATGAAATGGATAAATATCTATAAAAATATAAATTACCCAGATTAACAGAAGAAATAAAATAAAATAAAATACTTAAATAACCAAATCTTAGAAAAAGAAATTAAACAAACCATCAGTGAACCTCCTAAGAAAAAAATCTCCAGGACCAGATTATTCACAAACGAATTGTATCAAATATTTAAAGAACAATTAATCAAAATACTACATAAACTATTTGGAAAAATAGGCAAAGGAGCCCTACTAAACTCCTTCTACAACACAAATATGGTGCTTATACCTACACCAAGAAGAGCCAAAACAGAGAAGGAATATTATAGACCAATTTCCCTAATGAATATTGATGCAAAAATTTTAAATAAAATGCTAGCAAAGAAATTACAGCAATACATCACAAGGATTACATACTCATGACCAAGTGGGATTTACACTAGGAATGCAGTGCTGGTTCAGTATTAGGAAAACTATCAGCGTAAGTGATCAAATCAATAACAAAAGCAACAGAAATATACAATTATTTCAATAGATGCAGAAAAAGCCTTTGACAAAATACAGCACCCATTCCTATTAAAAACACTAGAGAACATAGGAATAAATGAAGTTTGCCTTAAAATGATAATTTTTATCTAAAACCATCAGCAAGCATTTTCTGTAATGAGGACAAACTAGAAGCCTTCCCAATACAATTAGGAACGAAGCAAGGATACCCATTATCACCTCTATTATTTAATATTAAACTAGAAATTTTAGCTATAGCAATAAAAGAAAAAGAAATTAAAGGAAACAGAAGAGGAAATGAGGAAACAAAACAAAAACCTATCACTCTTTAAAGATGATGTGTTATGCTTAGAAAATTCTAGAGAATCAACTAAAAAAAAATTGAAATTATTAACAACTTTAGCAAAGTTGCAGGATACAATCTAACCCTCATAAATCATCAGCTTTTCTATATATTACCAACAATCAAATATATACAAATCAAGCTATATACAGGATAAAGAGGAAATAATTAACAGAGGGGAGCACTAGCATTAAGATAGGTTGGAGAAGCCTTCCTGTAGAACATGGGATTTTAGTTGGGACTTAAAGGAAGCCAGGGAGGCCAATATTTGGAGTGGAGAAGGCAAAGTGTTCCAGGCACAGGGAATAGCCAGAGAGAATACCTGGAGCTGAGAGACGGAATGTCTTATTTGTGGAACAGTGAGCAAATCAGTATCACTGGATCAAACTCCCTGTTTCAGGGAGTAAGGTATAAGAAAATTTGAAATTTAGTAGGGGGCTAGATTATGAAGGGCTTTGAATGCCAAACAGAACATTTTTTATTTGATCCTGGAGGCAAGAGGAAGCCACTGGAGTTTACTGAGTAGCAGGGTGAGATAAGACATATTTTAAGAAAATCATTTTCGGGGAATCTAGGTGGCACAGTGGATAGAGCACCAGCCCTGGAGTCAGGAAGACCTAAGTTCAAATCCAGCCTCAGACACATAACACTCACTAGCTGTGTGACTCTGGGCAAGTCACTTAACCCCAACTGCTTCACCAAAAAAAAAAAAAAAAAAAAATTTTTTTTCGTGGCTAGAAGATGGATTGGAGTGAGGAGAGACTTAGGTATGGCAAATAGAACCACTAAGAAGCTATCATCATAGTCCAGATGTAGGTAATGAGGATTTATACTAGAGTGGTGCCAGTGTCAAAGAGAAGAGGGCATATTTGAGAGATGCTGCAAAGGTGAAACCCAATAGAGTAGAGATTGGGGGGTGAGACATCTCGAAGAATCCAGGATGACTCCTAGGTTTTGAGCCTGAGGATTAGGAGGATGGTGTTGTCCTTGACAGTAAAAGGGAAGGCAGGAAGTGGGGGAAAGTTCAAGAAGAAAGATAATGAGTTCTGTTCTGGGCATAATGAGTTTAAGATGTCTACTAAACATCCAATATGAGATGTCTGAAAGGCAGTTGGACATGTGAGACTGGAGGTCAGTAGAAAAGTTAGAGCAGGATAGGTAGATTTGAGAAGCATCAGTATAGAGATGGCAATTAAATCCATGGGAGTTGATGAGATCACCAAATGAAGTAGTATAGAGGGGGAAGAGAAGAGTGCTCAGGCCAAAATCCTGAGGGACACTTATGGTTAGAGGGTATGATCTGGGAAAAGATTCAGCAAAAGAGACAGAGAAAAAATGGTCAGATAGGTAGAAGGAGAAGCAGAAGAAAGTGGTCTCCTGAAAACCTAGAGTGAAGAGAAAGGAGGAGAAAGTGATCAACAGTGTCAAAGGTTGTAGAGAGGTCAAGGAAAATGAGGCTTGAGAAAAGGCCACTGAACTTGGTAAGTTAGAGATGATTAGTAACTTTGGAGAAAGTACTTTTGGTGGAATGATAAGGTTGGAAGCCAGATTATAAGTGGTTAAAAAGAGAGTGAGAGGAGAGAAAGTGGAGGCACCTATTATAAACAGCCTTTTCCAGGAGGTTAGCCACAAAAAGCAGAAAAGAAATAGGATGATAGTTAGCAGAGATAGAAGGATCAAGTGAGGGTTTTTTCAGGATTGGGGAGAAAGGGGTATGTTTGCAGGTAGTAGGAAATGAACCAGTAGACAGTAGAAATGAATAGGTAAATGTGTAAGCCTCGGTAAGGAGTTAGGCCACTTCATCATATGAGATGCATGCAGGAGATCTGAGTGATGTGAGATGAGGAAGATGGGGGAAGGAACTCATGGCAAATGGCCTCAATTTTTTCTGTAAAATATGAGGCAAGGTTCTCAGCTGAGTGAGGGGGAGTCACAAGAAGTCTGAGGAGGGATGAAAAGGTTTGGAAGAGCCATCATGGAGAGAGTGATAGTGAGTGGACATGGGAAGTACAGGACTGCCCGGTAACAGCGAGGGCCCAGCTACAGTTGTGTACCATGCGAACCAAGTCAGAAGATCAGCATGGTTTTCTTCATCTTCATTCAGGAGCAACTGTGTAAGAGCGAAGGCAGTGAATGGCAGAAGTGATGCCAGCTAAGGCTTGACTAGGCATAATTGGCAATATCATAAAGGGGCTAAGGATTCAAGAGAGGAGAACAGTGTAGAGTTTGATTGGTTCATCCCGGGGGCAAGAAGGGGAGAAGAAGAGAGAGTGGCTAGTGAGAGGGAGATGGCCTGGGAAAGAACTGAGGAGGTCAAGGAATCTGAGGTCAAAGTGTGGACAAAGGGTACTGAGCTTCTGGGAGAAAGTTACGTAAGGGAAGGCAGAGGGAGAGGTGAAAAGCCAATAGACTTGCGATCAGATAAGGGGATCTTCAGAATTCTTGGACATGTGGGAAATGGTAAGATCAATGGTATGGCTAAGATGGGGTGGAGGAGTAGCTCACGGAAGTGAATAGACTGAGGAACTGAATAGTTAGGGTATTTGAGAGAAAGTCAATATGTATAATGAACAAAATGCAATGTATGAATGTAATCGAATACTATTATTGAACATGAGGATTGATAAATATAAATTCAGGTAAATTTGAAAGAATTTGTACAAAATGACACAAAGTTAAGTGAACAGAATTAGGAAAACAATTTATACTAATACCACAAAGAAGAAAACAACAGTGAAAAATATCAGACCTGACTAGTTGTGACTTCACTGAACTGTGGGTGAAATACAATTCCCTTTTCTTGGCAGTGGATATGGGTATTGAATGAGGCATGAATCGTCAGACATGACTAATGTGTTGATTTGTTTAGCTGCATTTATTTTTTGTGAAGACTGTACTTGGGGTTGGTGGGAAGGAGTCAGCTGAAAGTGACAGCAATATAAAAGGAAAATTAATAAAGCATTTATTTAAGGTTTTCCTTTTCTTTTTAAGATTTGGAGTTATTTCTGACACTCTCTTCTTCTTGATCCCCATAGCCCAGTTAGTCACCAAGTCATGTCAATCGAAAGATTCACGTCTTCATAAGTATCTCTTCCATTCCACTCCTACCACTACCACCCTAGTTCAAATCCTTGTTATTTCAAACCCAGCCCATTCAGACACCCTAAATGAACTCAATGTCTTTAGTTTCCTTAATATATCCAGCAACACTGTTGCCAGATTGATCTTCTTAAAACATTGTTTTCATTATTTGTACCCATTTGCTCAAAAACTGGCAATGGTTCATCAGTGTCCAGTGTCCTTAGAACAAAGCACTATCCTTACTACTCACCCGTACTTATCTTTTTATGTATATATGTTTTCTCACTTTTAGGGGAATAGGAAGGGTTTCAATTTATCCAGGCGAGGGAAGTTTTTGATACAACAAAGCTGCCCCCACAAGGAACTATAGGATTTAAATTAGTTTGTGGCCTTCTAATAATGTTTAACAAAAAAGTACATAACAGCTCTCCAAATATTTACTAAGGAAATGAATGAAAAATCACAGTATCTATATTCTATTGAAGCACATAGCCTCAGTTCTGAATAACCAAAAGGCAAGGAACTTAGAATTTTAACTCTACTTACCTTAATGCTTCTGCATAGAAAAGATATTCCTTCAGCTGATCTGCATAATGCTCCTCTTCTTCTAAAATATCATCAATAGAAGCTGCATATCTGTTTTTTTAAAAACACAAATGAATATATAATATATGTATACATACAAATTAAACAACTTTCGTAGAGTACAAAGTATTAATGTTCTAATGCCTATACCAAAAGCATATAGTTTTTTTTCCCAAAGTGTAATAACGGCAACGAAACCTATAGAAAACAATGCATTTCAGCCTATCCCTCTTAACAAAGTGTTTATACATATATGTGTGTGTGTGTGTGTGTGTGTGTGTGTCACATTCTATAAAATAAATTATGAAAAGACGTGCTGTTTTCCGTCACTTAGCACAGTGCCTGGCACATAACGGCAAGTGCTTAACAACCACTTATTTACTGACTACTATCCTCTCCTCTGATCAGGTCATTCTCATTACCACACTATGACTTCTGTCTGTGTTCAGGTTGTTCCTCTTTTCTAGAATGAGCTCCCCACTGTTTATCCAAATCCTAACCCACTCTTTAAGGATCTCTCAACGACCTCCACCGAAGCTCTCTCTGACTACTCTGTGACTTCACTGATCTCCCTACTTATAGTCTTCACCATACAATTCAACACCTAATTATAAGCTGTCTAATAATTGTGTTGTAATTTCATGTGTTAATAAGCCTTATCTGTTAGATCTGAATTAACATTTCAAGGACAGAGACCATGTCTTTTATTTCTTTGTATCCCCCAGAGTGTCTAGTACAGAACTGAAGGCAGTAGGCACCAAATACACTTTCTGAATGACTAAAGAAACAGAAAAAAAATCAGAATTTACTTCTTATCTATTATTTATTCCCTATTCTGCTAAATGGAGTAGGCAACAAAAGTTGCTGAAAAAAGACAATTTGCAAATATAAAATTTATGGGTCATTTTAAATACAAGGTGTCCCCAGAGTCTGGGTACAGCCTTAAACTTAAGTGGAAATAAGTAAAAGAGTGAGCGTGACAGTAGGGGACAATCTATTGGAGGAGATGGGGATGGAATGGGATCACTTGAACAGGTAAAGGGGCTAGCCTTCGTAAGCTTTGGCATCCCAAAAGAACTGGTGCAGTCCTAAATTTAAAGCTGCACTAAGACTTTTGGGACACCCTATAAAATGTGCATTTTAAAAAATGTGTATAATAGGCAGACACAAACATATACACCGAAATTACAGGTTAGGAATTTGCAATGTTTGCTTGGAGGAACTTTTTTCTATGTACAGATCAAATTCTTGGAAGTCACTGTTGAGAATAACGAAAGTTCCTTCTAGCTTTAAAAAAATTACGACAGTGGATACTAAGTCAATGTTAACAAAAAGGCTTTTGAGCAACAACCAAATTGATGGCAGTGGATAGGGCTGAGAGATAGGGAAAAGGGGAGGGATAAACAAGCATTTCTTGGGTAAAGATAAACAGTTGCTAAGGTTGATGTTATTTTAATACTTTAAAAATTATCTAGAAGATTACACACCATGCAGTTTCTAAGTATGCAAATTACATTAATTCTTCCAGGTGAAATACCAAACTGAGAGGAATATCTTTTGATTCTCTGTGGGTAACCTAAAAAGCTTTAGTTTTAGTATGGGCAATTCCAAGATAACGAATGCACTTAGAGGAGAAAAATAAAAATGTCCCATGATAGGCTCTAAGGTATCAGTTAAATCCTAGGAAAGGGACCTTGGAGTTACTGTAGACTATACTCTGAAGATAAGAGTCCCAAAGTACTGGAAACAAAACAGGCTTTATACTTCTCTACATAGTGTGTCCATTTCCAGAATACTGTGTTTAAAGATGGCAACTCTACCACAAGAAAAAGAAAGCAGAGTTAGAGAACACTGGGAGAAGCACTAATGAAATGATCAAGGGGATGGATGAGCTACTACATCAGACAAGATTAACATTTAAACAGCTCAATTTAGAGAGAAGAAATCTGAGAGAAGATTACATCAAAATGCATAAAATCCACTAAGAATAATAATAGGGCAAACACAGACTTGTTTATCAAAATGCAATTTGGAGGCAAAATGGTATAAAGGAAAGTACTAGATCTGAAATGAGGACCGCATTTGAATCCCAGTTCTACCATCTGGGACAACTTACTCTGGGCCTCAGATTCCTCATCTATAAAATAAAGGGACTGGACGAGATGACCCCAAGATCCTTTCCACCTATACATTCACTTTTGTATGATCTTGTTTAACAACTCTTAACTGTTTCCAGCCACTATTTAAATATCCAACCCTATTTTTCCCCCCTCAATCTTGAACGGAACACTTTCCCCCACTAGTTCCCTGTGAATTTCTTGGTGTTTCTCAGTTCTGCTCGGTTTGCAATTTTACCAGGTGTCAAAACTTCAATATATGTTTTTTTTTCCTTCTGCTTAAAGTAAACTGAGGTCTGGGGCAAAGAATTTCTGCCAGAATGAGAAAGCAGAGGGGGAAGAAGAGGGCTACTTTTTTCCTTTCCTGGGTACTCTACTCCATCTGCCCCCAACCCCAATGAGTTTTCCTAAGTTGGTCCTGCTTTTCATAGCTTCCTCATCTTTTCCTTTATTCCTGACCCAGTTTCTCTAAAATTTTCCAGGTATCACTGTCTTCTCTGGACCTGTCTTCAATGCAATTATACTTCAATTTCCTCCAGCCTCAGGCTCACACAGAAGTTCCTGATCTACAATGACTGTGGGGTAGAGGAGATTATTATGGGCCTAGAAAACTTTAGATTAGAGCAAATAAATGAAGACTTGGCGGACCACATCTGAAAGACTGCCACACTATGAAGATGGTACTTTATCTCTTCTATTTCCTATCCTCAATGGAACAAAGCAGGACCACATTGATAAGGACACTTTAATCAATCTATTCTCTGCAACCACACTTCATGATTCAACAAGGAACTCCAAAACTAAGGTTAGAATTACTTTAAAGATATTTGGGAAATCTTCCAATTCAGAAGATTCAGAAGCTGTATCAGAAGTTACAGTGATCCAGGAATCATTTTATAAAGACAAATGTGCATTTGAAATAGACTTTTAAAAGATGCATAATTATCACTACTTTACAGAACCAGTACAGAACTAGGTGTACTGTCAAATATCAGCCAACACCATGGAAACCCTACACATTGCCTAACATTTTCAAAGAAACTGGGATGCTAGAAGCTTTCAATAAATCTTTCTATTATTTAAAAACGCCATGGGGGCAGCTAGGTGGCGCAGTGGATAGAGCACCGGCCCTGAAGTCAGGAGGACCTGAGTTCAAATCTGGCCTCAGACCAAACACTTGACACTTACTAGCTGTGTGACCCTGGGCAAGTCACTTAATCCCAATTGCCAAAAAAAAAAAAAAAGCCATGAAAGCAACAAACATGAGCTTGGACAGACTTCAGGAGATAGTGGAGGACAGAAGAGGCTGGTGTGCTATACAGGGTCACGAAGTGCCAGATGAGACTTGAATGAATAACATTATTTTAAAATGCAAGTTAAAAAATAATCAAAAAAGACACTGAAGATCAGAAAGATGCTTGGGAGGCTAAGTGTTAGATTAAAATTTAAAAGTGCTCAAGCAACCTTGAGGGTAGGGGTGGAGCCAAGATGTTGGATTACAGGCAACCCACCTGAACTCTCTCAACATTCCTCTCCAAACAATTTTAAAATAACACCTCATACCAAATTTGGAACAGCAGAGTCAACATGAGGTCAGGTAAGACATTTTTCCAGGCCTAAGAAAACTTGGAAAGTCTGTAGGAGAAGTTTGTGACACGGGGTAGAAGCCTGTACAGAGCCCACACATATTGCAGGGATAAGAGCAGCTGAGAAAAGCTTTTACAGTGGAAGAGAAGAAGGGGGAAGAGAGAGGGAGCGGGTGAACTTCGCTCTCATCAGAACTTGCTCAAAGTGGGAATAACATACACACTCTATTAGGTATAGAAATCTATCTTACATACACTACAGGAAAGTAGGAGGAGAAGGGGATAAGAGAAGGGGGGAGGTGATAGAAAGGAGGGCAGATTGGGGGAGGAGAAGTCAGAAGCAAAACACTTTTGAAGAGGAACAGGGTAAAAAGAGAGAGAGTAGAATAAACCGGGGCAGAGAACAGGATGGAGAGAAATACAGTTAGCAATAGTAACTGTGAAAAAAAACTTTGAAGCAAGTTTCTTTGATAAAGGCTCATTTCTCAAACATATAGAGAACTGATTCAAATTTATAAAAATAAGAGCCATTCCCCAATTGATAAATGATCTAAAGATATGATCAGTTTTCAGATGAAGTAGTCAAAGCTATCTATAGCCACATGAAAAAATACTCTCATTGTTGATTAGGAAATGCAAATTAAAACAATTCTGAGGTACTATCTCACACCTATCAGACTGGCTAATAGGACAGAAAAGGTAAATGACAAATGTTGGAAAGGATATGGGGAAAATGAGACTTTAATGCATTGTTGATGGAGTTGTGAATTGATTTAAGCATTCTGTAGAACAATTTGGAAGTATGCCCAAAGGGCTATAAAACCATCCTTACCCTTTACCCCAGCAATACCACTACCAGATCTGTATCCCAAAAGAGATAAAACAAAAAGAAAAGGACCTTTATGTACAAAAATATTTATAGTAGCTCTTTTCTGGGGGTAAAGAATTAGAAGTTGAGGGGATGCCCATCAATTGGGGAATGGCTAAACAAGTTGTGGCTTGTGATTGTACTATAGGAAATGATGAGCAGAATGCTCTCAGAAAAACCTGGAAAGACTCGCGTGGGCTGATGGCAAAATGAAATGTACTACATACAAACTAACAGCAATATTGTAAGATGATCAGCTGTGAATGACTTAGCTAGACACAGCAATACAAGGATACAAGACAACTCAAGGACTTAGGATGAAAAATGCCAGAGAAAGAACTGATGGTGTCCAAATACAGACTGAAGCTTTTTTTTTTTTACTTTCTTTATCTTTCTTGAGGTTTTTTTCCTTGTCTATGTTTTCTTTCACAATATGACTATTATGGATATGTTTTGCATGACTGCACACGTATATCCTATATCGAATTGTTTGCCCTCTCAATGTGGGGGGAAGAGGAAGGGAGAGAATTTGGAACTCAAAGTTTTAAAAACGAATGTTAAAAATTGTTTTTACATGTAACTGGGGAAAAATAAAATATTAAATAAAAGCTAAAAAAAAAAAAAAAAAAGCAGCTAAGGCTGCAGCTGCTGCAGCTGCTTTGGGAGTTCTCAGCCCAGAGATGGTCAGGGGGTTGGACAACTGGTCAGAAAGAGATTACACAGGACTCTTCGCTGGCACTCGGCACTGACTGGTAATTCTCTTGTTCATCCACAGTTCTGAGTTGCAATTCCATGGAGGAGAGGAGAGCTGGAGGCCAGTCACAGGACAGCAGGGGCCCTGGTCACATTCTAAGGCAAGATAGCAGTTACATTTGTGGTTTAGGGGAACAAGGACCCATTCTGGGTAAAGACCAGAGTGCAGACCAGAGGAGCAGTAATCACACCTCGCCCAGAATCACACCACTTTGGGAGCACCAAAAACTTGCAGAACCCCAGAACTAGCTCTATAAACAGCAGCACAAAAAAGCCTGAAGCTTGGGACGGTACCTCGCTACCCCAGGTAAACTGAGCCCAACTTTAATATAAAGTTCAAAGTCAAGAAACAGGCAGGGGAAATGAGCAAACAACAAAAAAAGAATTTGACTATAAAAAGCTACTATGGTGGCAGGGAAGACACAGACCTAGAAGACAATGATGTCAAAGCATTTATAAATAAAGCCTCAAAGAGAAATGCTAATTGGACCTAAGGCCAGCAAGAATTTCTGGAAGAGTAAAGGAAAAACTGGGAAAAGAAATAAAGAGTGATACAAGAAAATTATGAAAAGAGAATTAACTTGGTAAAAGAAGCACTCAAAGAAATACTGAAGAAAATAACATCTTAATAAAACACAATTGGCCTAATGGTAAAAGAGACACAAAAATTCACTAAAGAAGAATTCCTTAGAAAATAAAACTGGTCAAATGAAAAGCGTTATAAAATCTCATCGAAGAAAATAATTCCTTAAAAATTAGAATTGGGCAAGTTGAAGCTAATGACTCCATGAGACATTAACAATAAAACAAAGTCAAAAGAATGACAAAATAGAAGAAAATATGAAATAGCTCATTGGAAAAACAAATACCTGAAAAACAGATCAAGAGGTAATTTAAGAATTATTGGATTACCTGAAAGCTATAGTCAAACAAGCCTAGACATTATATTTCTTTTTTTTGTTTTGATAATTAATTTATTTTTAGTTTTCAACATTCACTTCCATAAAAGAGTTTGGGTTTTAAATTTTCTCCCCCTTCCTCTCCTCTCCCCGCCTCACAGGTGGCTTGCAATCTGATATAGGCTCTACTTATACATTCATATTAAGCATATTTTCCCATTAGTCATGATGTAAAGAACAATTAAAACTAATGGGAGGAACCATGAGAATGAAGCAGTAAAACAAAACAACAAAGGAAAAGGAGAGCAAATAGGATGCTTCCATCTGCATTCAGATTCCATAGCTCTATCTCTGGATGTGAACAGCAATTTCCATCATTAGTCTTTTGGAGTTGTCTTTCACAGTTCTTTCTTTGAATGTGGATAACATTTTCCATCATGAGATTTTTGGAGACATCTTAGATCCTTGCATTGCTAAGAAGGGCTAAGTCTATCAAAGATGGTCATCACACAACGTGGCTGTTACTGTGTTCACATGTATAATTGATATATTACTTGCCTTCCCAGTGGGTAGAAGAGGGAGGAGAAGAGAGGTAGAGAATTTGGAATTCAAAATTTAAAAAGAAATCAATGTTAAAAACAAATACATAATAAATCTGAAGGGGAAAAAAAGTACTCAAGCACTTAGCAAGTTTTGGAATCAAGGTATTGGTTTGAGATTAGGATTATGAACTCTAAAGAATATGGGAGTACTATTATTGCTGGAGCCATAAGACTTAAAAAGACCTAAAGTTAAGCACAACAATCTAATCTGGTTTTCCAGGAAAACAGATAAGCAGCATATGCTAATTTTCTTGTTGGTTTTCTTACAGTTTATTATACTTTTAAGGATAACTGTATCTTTGCACAGGAACCTAACTTTTAAGATAGGAAGCTGGGAACTGAAGTATCAAAAGAAAATGTTTGTATGTTCAACACCTTAAGGATGGTGTTGAACATTAGTTACACGGGTCCCTGAACAACAAATTTCAGTTAAGTTTGGGCAGATGCACTGGAAGAAGCCTCAGTGAATTCCAAATGATGAATAAAGCTACCAAAAGTTTATATCATGAAGTGTCCGAGTTATTATGAAACATCCAGAAGGCCACAATTATGAAAATGTATGTGTGAAAGGGGAAGGAAAGAAGCAATAAGGGTCAGCAAGAGGTTTCACTGACATTCAGAATGTGCCAAACTCCAGGTCTACAAAAGGTCTCCAAAGAAAGCTTCTACTTCTATTTGATTCCAAAAACTCAACTTCCAAAGATGTCATCTCATGTAATTTCAATGTTATCATCCATAAATTTACTGAAAATCAAGTGGTAGGATAAGATCTCCAAAAGTAAAGTTCTATCACGTAGTTATTCTAAGGTTCAACAGAATAATAACAATGGTGATGATTCACATTTTTATGGCACTCCTGGGTTTACAAAGCACCTTTCTCGCAACAGCCCCATGAGATAAATGGTGCAAATATTAATATTAAATGTTTAACTACAGGAAGTGATTTGACCCCTCTGGGACTTAATTTTCTTCATCTGTAAAATAAAAAGGCCAAAGTAATGACCTCTAAAGTTTTTTTTTCCCTAACAAACATTCTAAGATTCAATGACAAATACCCATATATACTCAACGTAGAAGGAACTAGTGAACACCACATCCAATATAGACAAAGAATACAATAAACATCTGTTGATATGAACTGATATTATTCATCTTCAAAAGAAAGACAAATTCTATCATTAGGACACATCAAAAGCTTTACATCTAATTATCCAATACTGACTTGGGACTTACACATCCATATGATGTCCTGCACTCTGTAGTCCATCTCCCATTTCTTTTTCTATGGCACTCCATTCACTAAGAAAAAACGGATAAAATTATAAATATTATATAAATTAAGGATATGGCAAGTTAACAGGCTAGTCTTCCATATTATTTTTTTCCAGATAACATTTAAAGAGTATATGCATGTGTGTGTGTATTTGATACCCAAGCAAACTACTCTGTTCAAGCAATAAAATCCAACTCAATTATACTTTAAAACATTTTATCAGATGGGCACACTAATACACTATTGATGGAGTTGTGAACCTGTCCAACCAATCTGGAAAACAATTTAAAATATGCTAAAAAAGAATATGACTAAATCATCCTTTGACCCAGAGATCCCACTGCTAGGCACATACTCCGAAGATGTCAGACAGAAAAAAAGATCCCTTATATAGGTATCCTAAGAGTCTTAGAGCAGTTTTCATCCCTTCCTATCCTAGTAACGAATAACTGATTGCAGAGAGGCTAAACAAATTGTAGCGCCTGATTCTAAAAGAATGTTGCTGTAGTCCTGGCTTTGTCACTATATCACTGTGTAACCCTAATCAGTTCAGCTCACTTGTTTGGACTCAATTTCTTTATACAGAAATAAAGTAGAACAGTAACATTAGCTCTGCAGTCACTGGACCTGGATTCAAATTCCATCTCTGGAATTTACTACTTGTGTGGCCTTGGGCAAGTCACAGTAGCATCCCTGGGGCTCAGCTTGCTCATCTATGAAATGAGTGAATTGAACTAAATGGTTTCTGAGGTCCCTGTCAGCTCTAGGGTCATGACCCTATGATTTCTAAAATGAGAAAGTGGACTACATGGTTAATCTCTAAAGAAGCTTCCAGCTCTGGAATTACTTTATTAAAATTATTATATACTTTTTAAAAAAGCTTTATGTAATATATTCACGATTTAATTTGCAATATCCTTTTTCCATTCTTTGTATACAGAAAGGTTCATTTATATTGATGTTTATCAAGTTCAGAAAAAAAAAAAACATCTTTTAAAGACTCTTTCTTTGGGGTCTATACCCAAAAAGATCAGAGAGAGAGGGAATTGTACAAAAATACTATAGCAGCTCTTTTCGCAATGGCAAAGAACTAGAAACTAAAGAGGTATCCATCAATTTGGAGAATGGCTAAACAAATTAAAGTATATGAATGTGATAAAATACTAATGTGCTACAAGAAATGAAGGGGACAGTTTAAAAAAGCTGGGAAGGTTTGTACGAAATGATGCAGAGTGAACTGAGAAGAAGCAGTAGAACAACTGATAAATTTTATAACAATAATACTGTAAAGCCAAAAAACTTTGAGAGAATTAAGAATGATGATCAACTTTTTGGCGACCAACCATGATTCCAAAGGCCTTGTAATGAAACATGCTACTCCCTCTCCTGACACAGAAGAGATGGACTCTCATTTCTGATTCTATTTTAATTCTGAAGGGTAAAAAGTACTGTTTCTTCAACAAAACAGGTAATAAAAATCTCTAATTACCATTAATGAAGTGAGAATTTGTTACGAAAACAACTTATGAAATCCCAGGGAAAGAGTATAAAATTTTAGAAGGCAGGGTATGAAGCACCCTTACAGTGTTAAAATTCTTTAGTTAAACTTTTAATTTTATTTTCTCCTTTTTGTAATCACCACATGTTTTTTTTGTTGTGTTTTGTTATGCTTTTTGATTGATTAGTCATGCCCAACTCTTCATGACACCATTATGGTATTTCTTGGCAAAGAGTGGTTTGTCACTTCCTTCTCCAGCATGTTTCACAGATGAGGAAACTGGGGCAAACACAATTAAGTGACTTGCCTACAGTCACACAGCCAGTAAGTGTCTGAGGCCAGATTTGAACTCAGACGCTCCTGACTCTAGGGCCAGCATTCTATCCACTGCACCACCTATCTGCAAACCTAACTGCCAGGTTCAACAAAGTCAAATTTTCAAGTTCAGTAGTCAATTTCCTGGGACAAATTGACCCCCATTTTTTCTAGAAATCAAATCTGTAGAATTATAAAAATTGCATATGTCTAATTGCCTATCGAAAGTTTGGTCTCCCTTCCTCAAGCCTTTCCCCTCTCCAATCCATCCTTCAGAAAGCTGCCAAAAATGGTTTCTCTAAAGTCCAGGTTTGATCATGCCATCCCTTCACTTAATAAATTCCAACAGTTGTCTATCATCTCAAGGATCAAATACAAACTCCTGTTTTGCTTTTAAAGCTCTTCACACCCTGACTACCTTTCCTGCCTCACTGTACATTACTATCCTTCAAACTCCCTCTATATAGTCAAATGAGCTTCAAAAAAAACAAAACAAAACTGTTTCTCATAAGCAAGTGTGCATCATCTTCCATCTTGATGGCTTTGTACTGTCTGTCCTCCACAACTAGAATATACTCCATTATCACTTCCGTTTCTCGGACTCCTCAATTTCCTTTAAGGCACAGATTAATGAGGCCTTTCCTGATACATACAGCATGTAGTATTTCCCTTCAAAATTATCTCATGTCTATTTGGTATATCCCTACATATTGTTGTCTCCTCCAGATAGATTGGTATGGTTCTTGAATGTGACTGTTTTTGCTTTTGTCTTTGTATCCTTAGTACAAAGCATGGTGCTTGACACTTAGCAGGTGCTCAATAGATGCTTGTTGATTGATCTAATTAGCCAATTTGTATTTAATCAAAACAAACATTGATAACAGTAAAAATTATATTCATACTTTTCTCTAAAAGGTAAGACAGTCATTTATCTCTTTTCTTCCTATTAAGGCAAGTCTACAAACTATCTTTTAGTATGACATCAGTTCAAACAATGTTTTTAAAAGTTTATTCTCCCTAGTGAAAAAACACACAGCTTGCCTGATTAATTTGCGTCAGACATTTTGGTAATTAAAATAAATGTTTCATCTTGGAAACATTTGGTTTCTCTCCACTTTTTCTGACTATATAATGAATGACTTTCCTTTCAGTGCTATCTTGGATAATAGATGTGTCCCATGTGAGAGGTTTATAATGACAGCAAATTTCAAAATATCAAACAACAGACCTATTAAAAACAACCCAAACACATTTGACTTAGTCTTCCTGTTCATTCACAAGAATGTTATTCATGAATATTTGCCACAGAAATGTGTTTGACTTAGTTTACTCTGTTGATATGAAGATTATTTAAAAATTAACTGGTTGGAAAACAGGTTAGAGAAAGACAAGTAGTAAGTATGACTGTGATTTTTTCAGACTTAATTGAAATACAGCAAGTCTAATTTCTAACAGCTGCTTAGAGAGATATAGCAATTGATATCAGAAATTAAGAGAATTACATACTGAAATTCAACATAATATATTATTGTAACTACAAATTATATATATATATAATATACACTTTTTTTTAGAAAATTACTTCAGTAACATTAATCTTTTTTGGCAGGGAGGGAAGGAGATTTCCATCTACTCAAAGCAGTGTCCATTATTTATTCCAGAGAATATAAAAAGCATTCAACTCTGCACTACACATACTAGCAACAATCTTAATAGTGTTCTGAAATACACCTAAATTTAACCACAAATACACTGGTAATATGTTAAAAAAGTGACATACACTGAAAAGTTAATATCCTTAAATGACTAGAGATAAGAAATCTATGCATCTACCACAAATTTTTTTAAAAAGATAATTCAACCCAAAAAAGCACTATAAATAAAAAACTAGCAAGAAATTCGGGATGGCAGTCAAAAACATTAGGAACAACAAGACTTAAATTCTTAAATTTAGAAAAAGACAACTGCACAAGAACAAAAGATTTATACAAAAAAGCCTCAGTTGTGTATATAAAACACTCTAAGGCTAGAAAACACTCCTTGTGACAAAGGTCTTTTTAAATACCATGAATTCTGATTATTATTAATAAAAATAGTGAGCAGTAGTTCACATTTGTACAGGGCTTTGCATTTCACAAAGCACTTTTTCTGAAAAACTATATATAAGTATTATTTGTTTTCATTTTATAAAAGTGGACACTGAGTCTAAGAGATGAATAACTTGCCCAAAGTCCCATTAACAACTAAATGATGAACCCAGAAGTGAAACCAGCCTCTTTGGACTCTTACTTTCAATGTTCTTTTTACTATGGTGTAAGAGTTCTACTGTCCAGAACCACACATTTGCAAAGATATATAATTTCCCATATGTAAGGCAAACTGACTAGAAACATGAGGAATGCTTTAGAATGATAATGCTTACCTGAAAACTCTGCCATAATTTCCATGAACTTTATAGACACCATAGAGTCGGTCTGCCACTCTCTAAAATAAAGGTTTACAGAAGCTGATTTAGGTTGCGTTTAACTTATATTCAGGTTACTACCAAATTATTTTTATCAGAAGATAAAAATTTTTCAATCCCCCCCAAACAAGTTCATCATTTTAAAACCAAAAGCAATATACAAAAAAGAGAAAATGATATTCTAAAAATAGTACAAAAACTCAGTATAACCCTTTATACCACAAAACTTATGTTAGCATTGCATTATGTACTGTTTTGACTAGTTAAGCCTCACCAACATTTCCCAAATGTCAGACCCCACCTGAAGGTATAAACCAGAGAGTCCGGCATTGGCCACACAAACCATAGGTGTTCCACTGGTTCCTTAAAGCCCTTCCATATCCTAAGGATGGACCATATCCCTGATGTTACTAATAAAACAGGAAAATTTGGCTCCCAAACCACTCTATAAGAATCCTCAGCGCTAGTAAAGCCTCTACTTAAAAGAAGATACTGGTCCTTTAAATATCTGAGGCCATCAACTGCAAGAGATGGATCAGATCTATTAAAAAGCTTTCAAAATTACCCTAGGTAGAACTCAGTCCTCATTCCAACTGGAACTTTTTAAAGTTCTTACCTTTAATTTCTGGACCCAAACTTTTAGAAAGGTTGGCTTCCTCTGCCACCCCAAAAATCCTGCCTTCTATCCCAGATTCCTTGATGTTACCTAACAGCCCACGTCACATAGCCTTTCTTACTCCTAACCTACCTCCAAGTGACCACATGACCTAGAATTCCGCCCCAAAACAGTACAGATGAGAGAAAAGGGGAGAGTTGAAATGAGCAGTAAGGAATTCCAATCTTAGGCTTAACATATCCACTACACTTGCCTCCAAAAGAAATGTCTGACATAAAATTTGAATAAAAATTCACTATTTACCAACAAGTGTGATTCTTTAAAGCTATCAACCCTTATAGCTAACAGAAGTCTACCATGAATTCAGAATTCTAGAGAAAATCTTTTAGTCCAATAGGTTTTTGCAGAATCTAACCCAAACAAAGAAAGGCATGTACTCCATTCCCTGCAGTGCGTGGTAGGTTAACTCTCCAGGTTTTGATCTTGCTCATGACACAAGCAAGGAAGTTAACTAACCTTTGATTAATACTAATGATGATGGGCAAAAGAAAAAGCAGTGAATCCAACCCTGAAAAGTAATGAATACATAGTCTCCAGGGAGCCCAAGAACAGGTCTGAAGAAAGGTTGCTTTTTTAGGACTAATCACACTCTGCTGTGTCATGCCCTGGGAGAGATATAGAGGAATGGTTAATGTTTTTCCTTTGGTTGTAAGGTTTGTTCACCCTTCCAGGAAAAAGAATGGGAACAATGACAACAGAAAAGAATAATCCTGACAGCCAGGGAAAACTAAGAGCTCTGCAAAGATCTGATCAAAAGGAAAAGGAAACCTGAATCCCTGTCAGGAGATCTTGAACAACAAACATACAAAAACATTACTTGGACGTGACTAATCTCCAGGTTAAATGGCAAAAGGGGTGAAATGTTTCACGCAGTTTTCATTTGCAGAAAATGAGTTTGAGATGGTCAAAGCAAGTATAAACAGATAAAAGGGGCATGTCCTTTTTTCACTCAATACTCCTCAGTACCAGAGGTATAGGATATGGAATCCCCCAGTTGTGATGGTAGAAAAAGGAAACTGGAGAAACAGCCTTCATGGGACTGCTAATCAGCATAGGGAGCAGGGAATATGCAACTCCCTGATTAGGTCATATCCTACAGAAATCCACTGGATCAAAAAACTTTTCCAAAATTCTAAACAATGTGATAGACAATTATTGTGCCAACCAGCAAAGCAATTCAAAGAAAAAATTACCATAGACCTGTTACAGCAAGGCTAATATAGGAAAAAGGGAAGCCCAGTTGTCAAAGTAAGCCCATGATTGGTAAGACCCTGATATTAAGTTTTAGGGAAAGGAATTTTTGTATGATGGACCCCTGTTAGTCTAGTAAAGCCTATGAATCCCTTCTTGGAATAAGGTTTTTAAATGAATATAGCACACAGAATTACAAAGGAACCAGTTATATTGAAATATAATTATGAAAAAATATTTTAAAAAAACCAACAAGCTCATGGATCCCAAGTTAAGAACCTTTGTTTTGGGATTTTTTTTCTGACTATGAAAGGAAACCTAACACAGCAGCACCTGAACATGAAATCCTCCAGATCACTGGAGCCAATCCTAGTTAAAATAATTAGCAAAATAAAGTTTTTGAGTCCCAGGGTAAGCATTTTAAACTCTGACAAACAGAATTTACCTGAGTCCTTTCCTGATTCTCTTTCCCACCCCACCCCCAGTTGTCAGTGTTGTCTGCTTCCAATAAAATTACTTTGAATTTACTAAGTACATATTTTATAGTTTTTTGTTTTATTTTTGGTGAGGCAATGGGGTGAAATGTCTGAGGCCATATTTGAACTCAGGTCTTCCTGAATCCAGGGCCGGATCTATCCTCTGCACCATCTAGCTGCCCCGTAAATATTTTATATCTAAAAAAAAAGTGTACGGGGGCAGTGAGGTGGCACAGTGGATAGAGCACTGGCCTTGGAGTCAGGAGGACCTGAGTTCAAAACTGACTTCAGACACATAACACTCACTAGCTGTGTGACTCTGGGCTAGTCACTTAACCCCAACTGCCTCACCAAAAAACAAAAAAAAAAAGGGTAGTTACCCCCAATAGACTGTAAACTTCTAAGAGGCAAGAACAGTTTCATTTTGGTCTTTGTTGTTAATGTGAAATTGACCTGATCTGGTAGAATGAAGTAGAAATGAGCCACTAAGGAGGAATTCGAGGCAGGACAAGACTTAAGTAAAAGGAAAAGGATAAGCAGGGATTGATGTCTAAAGCTTAAAGTACGGGAAGGTACAACGTGTGACAAAAAGTATTTGTCCCTCTTCAAAAACTACTGTGTTATTATTGTAATAAAACCCATTTTATGGAGAAAGCCATAATGGCTAGATCGCATGGCTGGTCATCCACATAAGCCTCAGGGTTACCCTAAGTGACGAGACTACACTGAATAAACCCTGGCACCACCAGGCAGATGGTGAAAGCTCCCAGGGATGGCAGACCTGGAAGAGAGGAGGACAAACCTCCACAAAACTATAAGTAAGCACAAACATTACTATATCAGAATTGGTTGGTTGGTTGTTTTTTAAATCCCACTTGACTGGTGCTAGGTTTAAAGCTTAATGAAAAGCCTAAGAATCAAGAATAAATAGAAAAAAGGAAAATGAGGGCTGCTGGGGTAGGGGGTGGGGGGACTGAAGAGTAACAGTACAACAGACTCACTAGATAAATCTCATTTTCCTCATCTAGGCATGAGGATATGAGGATAATAATAGCATCTATCTCCCAGGGTTCTTATAAGGCTCAAATGAGAAAATAAGCGTAAAGAACTCAGCACAGTGCCTGGCACATAGTAAGTGCTATGTAAATGTTAGTTATTATTATTATCATTATTGTTATTAATCCTAGGACGTCTCAACTTGACAAGATAATCTGCAACAGTCCACCCTTGCAGCAGCAGTCTATGACAACAATATGCTTCTCTTATGAAACATGGTGAAAACTAATCCTCCCAGTCAACAGAGACTGTAATTTCAATGTTCCTTTTAGTCATTTTTTCGGCATATTTTATAGCAAGATGATCAAGCTTTAAATGCATGACACAACTGATCTAATTGTCATAAAAATCATATTGCTTAAAGACTATGCAACCTTACACTAAGGAAGAACAGTGTAATTTATTCAATTCCCCCATGATCTAGGAAGCATTTTATTACTTATTACTCTAGAATAGCATCCTTCTTTTGTCCCACTCAATCTGCACAATCTTACTAATGACACTGTCTCCCTTTCCATCAGCTTCTTTATAACATTTTTGGTGGGGTAGGAAAGGGGCAGGTTAGGACCTGAGATTTCACCACTGTATGAAACTCTAAGTATGGGAACTCCATCCAGAGATACAGATCAGCAATTTTATAACTTTTGGTCTTAGAGTTTCTTAAAGCACTGACGTTAAATAACTTGCCCACAGTCATACAGCTAATACATGTCAGAAGTAAGACTGAAACGCAGGTCTTCTTGACTCCAAAGCCAACCCTATATCTACTATGTTATACGTCTTCTCTCCTTATAATTTATATCAGACTTAAATTACTGCAAGCTGTTCTTTGGGACAAATAAACATCTTCCCCAACACATTCATTCTCTCTCTCTCTCTTTTACATATATATGTTATGTTAAAGTTTGAAAAAAGAAATATATATATATATATATAAAAATAAAGAGAGCGAGAGAGTGATAGCAATTTTTTGGCTGCACAGGAGCTATCCTGCAGAAGATATTTCTTTCTTTCTTTATTTTTTTAAAGGCAATTGGGGTTAAGTGACTTGCCCAGGGTCACACAGCTAGTAAGTGTCAAGTGTTTGGTCTGAGGCCACATTTGAACTCAGGTCCTCCTGACTTCAGGGCCGGTGCTCTATTCACTGCGCCACCTAGCTGCCCCCAAGATATTTCTTACATAAATATACGAACTATATCTGTACCTTATATAAAAGTTATTTTATAAATTTAAGGTCACAATGAATAAGAGATTATTTGTTAATGAGCAGGGAGTAAATAAGGAGATGCAGGGTAAGATAATAACTGGCTTGCTTAGTTACATATTAGCAAAATGAAAATGTTTATTAAAAAAATTAAAGATGTTAAGATAGAGACATTGGGGTAAGAGGGGAATAGAAATTAGGATTGATCATGAATAAGAACTCAAATAACAGTTTTTATAATCTGATCTAAACCAGGTACCTATTCTGGGCATGGGATCCAAAAAATTAAACAATTAACAAACATTGATTAAGTGTATACTACAAATCAGACACTGTACTAAATGTTGGGTATGGAAAGATATAAATGAAACAGTCCCTTAATTCTAGTACTTTCCAGACTATCAGAGGAAACAAGTAAGCCTCTAAGTATATAAAAAGTAAATATGGGGGCAGCTAGGTGGCACAGTGCATAGAGTATTGACCCTAGAGTCAGGAAGACCTGAGTTCAAATCCATTCTCAGGCACTTGACACTTACTAGCTGTGTGACCCTGGGCAAGTCACTTAACCCCATTGCCTAGCTTAAAAAAAAAAAAAGTAAATACCAGGTAATTTATGAGGTCAGACAGCTAGGTGGTGCAATGGACAGAGTGCTGGGTCTGGAGTCAGAAAGACTCATCTGCCTGAATTCAAATCTGGCTTGGGCAAGTCACTTATAACCCTGTTTGTCTCAGTTTCCTCGTCGGTAAAATGAGTCAGCGAAGGAAATGACAAACTACTTCAGTATCTTCGCCAAGGAAACGCCAAATGGGGTCACGAAAAGTTGGACATGACTGAAATGACTGAACAACAATTTATAAGGAGGGAAACGGCAGACACTAAAAATTGGGGTAATTAGGAAAGGCCTCATAGAAAAGGAGCTTGAACTGGGTCCTGAAGAAAGCTAAAACTTTTTTTTTTTAATGGATGTGTGGAGAGAGTACATTTTAAGCAGAGGAGGCAGCCTGTAAAAAGGCACAGAGAGTAGAAGATGGAATGCTGTTATGTGAGGAATAACAAACAGAGTCAGTTTGGAAGGAACTTTTATAAAAGTCCATGAGGAAAGTAATATGAAATGTAATTCATTCAAATGTAATTTGGAAATGTAAGCCAATGAGATTGTGAATACTTTTAAATGCAAAACAGAGGAGTTTATATCTCATCCTAGAAGAAAGCGGGAGTCACATTAGAGCTTTTCAAACAAGGAGACACTCTTGCCTGGCCATCTAGTTTTCCTGTTCTATTTGACTTTTTCTTATAGAGTCACATCAAAACTGTCAAGTAAGCATCAAAACCGTATTCTTTGGATGATCTTAAGACTAGGATGATACATGTAATACTTTCAATTACTGAGCAGCAGCTGATGAGTTTTATCAACTACAATGATATAACTACAATGATATAAAGAAGAACAAGATGGTGGTCATGCTGAATTTTAATCAGAAACATCACCACTTTAAAAACTTAACCTTTCAAATATTATTTTCTGTAAGCTGATAGCATTTTACACTTGTGAAGTTATTAAAACGTAAAACTGCATGAAGACTTGGGACACTATGTATACATTTGCACAATATGCATATATGTACAGACATTCACATATGCATACACATGTGCATATATACACACAGACACACATATATGCATCATCATTTGTACATTTTTCTTCTTTAAATTTAGGCTACAGCAATTATGTTGGCAACTCAATGAACTTTTCTAATTACATAAAAGGGCTACAAATTTTACCTGAAGAGGCCAAGAAATTCATCCTAATTTATGTGAAAAAATTTCAATCAATGAAATTCAATACCTACTATTTATTTTTTAATACCTACTATTTATAAGATGTTAGCACATAAAGTAGTTTATTAATTGGATCCTAATGGAACAAAGATATGTCCCTCAGCATTGTGTCAAGGACATAGATAACTGAACAAGTATGTATTAAGAAACTGAATGTTACAGATAATATTCTACAATGGGTTCCTTTTAATATCAAAAGAAGAGATTAACTGATAGTTGAAGAGAATCAAAACACCTTTGACTTTATGATCATATCTTTCCTACCCAACTTCTTAAAATACTTACATTAAGTAAGATTAAAAGGATTGGTATTCTTGTGTTTGCTTATACATCCTAACAGGCTTTAGACTAACAATGACAATTAGCCTTGTTTCTGAACATTCATAGGATAAACTTTACACATATAGGTTGTATCATGTCACTCATAGGCACTCATTTACAGGGAAAAATACAGGCCAGACTCAAATCTAGCTCTTCCAACTGTGAATTTAGGCCCTTCTCTGTTAAGCTAAACTACACGGAATATGAAAACTCTAACAACTAGTTCCATTGTAACTTATTCCTGAAGAATAATTCATATAAGAATGCAATTGGAGAGATGCTGTTTTGCTGTTGCCTACTTGAGGGCCTAAAGCTCAGCCAGTTCTATTCCACCTTTCAGGGTACACATCTGGATTAAATCAAACCACCAGACCCACGGTTAGAGACAGTATAGCATTAGAGTGAAAATAACATTTGACTGGGAACAGAAGATCTGGGTTCCAGTATAAGCACTTAAATTAACTAAAATAATACAATTACCCAAGTCAATTTACCTCCCGGGGCCTGTTTTCTTATCTGTAAAATAAGGAAGGTGGATATAATGTAAGAGGCTATACTCATATCATGAAAATATATGTTAGCCAGAAGGCTAGGCCAGTTTGGGAACTTCTCTAGGGATTCAAATGAAGGTAGGGCTGATCCAAGACAACCTAGATTTCCCTGGACCTGTCACAGCCACCTCTTATGAAGACTAGGTTCTCAGGCTCTAGAATTTCTGAATGAGTAAGAGTGAATGAAGCATCATTTTCCAGGCCCATCCATTCACCCAAAAGCATTTGGCTATCATTAAAGTCAAACTGTATTGATATGTATAAATCACCCCTGAAATTCTAGCACCTATTTTCCTAGACTTTCTATACCTGCCATTACAACAAATCTACCTGCCTTAAGAGGTTTTAAGACTACTAATATAAGACCTCTTATAAGTGAAACATTACAAGACTTTAAAAAAAAATTCAGAATGAAAAGAGATTAGTTAGATCTTAAAGCAATCAGTTATATGCTCACAATGAAATGGAAGATTTGACAGTATGTCAAAACAAACATATATACTAAATTATAAACTTCAGAAGATGAATGTAGCCAACGAAACTTTCAAAATGGTTAGTCCAGAGAATATTTTGCATCACTTTTACAAAAAGCACTCGGAATGATTCAAAAATTCTAAGTTATTGATCATGAATATCACTTCCTCCACCCCTCCACTTAATTGTGGTTAAATAATTGTGCTGCCTTATAAATTCTCCGGCCAAAAGCATGTGGGGATCACTTACGGCTCTGACTCGAAGAAGGTGTGAGATGACAGACTGCAGTTCGTCACCGTAGTGTTTTAGATCAGTAAATCTCCTGGGAACAGGACACAGATAGCATATTATTATATATTAAGGAATAAGCATTCATAAACTGAAAGAAAAGTACTATGATCTAAGAACTGTTAATGATGATCCTGATTCTATTTAACACCAAGTTAGCTGCAGATTTTTCCTCAACTTATAGAACTAACAAAATTCTAAAAGCATACAACACCTGCTTATTCATGTGACATTTTCAAAATAAAATTAGGAGCAAGTCATGTTAAAAATATTTATTATGTGGTGAGGTTTTTTCAGATAAAAATCATCTTGGAATTAAACAGGGAAAATAGATTTGTCTCAAGATATTTTTTAAGGGAATTTTTTTTAACCTAGTCATTCAACTACAAATTCTATATATATGAAAATTTTCAATTACTCCCCTCTCTAGGGGAGTAAGAGTAGGAAGAAATCTTGGAGATTATTTACCACAATCCCCTCACTTTATAAATGAAGAAACAGAGGACCAGATAGAAGTGACCTGCCTGGGATTACACAGCTAATAAGTGTTAAAGCTAGGACACAAAGTCAGTTCTAAATCCAAAAGCAATATTCTTTCAACTGAGACCTCTCTCTCTTAAAAGACAGGGACTTTGGGTACACTCTGTATACAGTCTAAAGGTAAGTAGAGAAAGTCAGTATGAAGGTTACCGATAAAAAACAAAAAAACAAAATTTTTAAAAGTGCTTTTAGACTCTCTAGGGTACCTTTCACCATCTTAATGCTCTACATGTGTAGTCATCAAAGGTGTATCTCATTTACAATTTAAAGTTTCAATGGAATATATTATATAAGAAGACAGGAAGCAGGCAATGCTGAGAACATGAGCAATGCTCATTAATGCAAAGCAGGTTACAAAGTAAAGGCAATCTAAAACTGCTTGATATTTCTTCGACTCCCCTCTTCACTCTGTATCATTTTCCAGTCAATAAACCTTGAAAACCAAGTCAGAGGCCATAGGGCTTACAAGAGTGGGTGGCCATGATTAGAGAACATATCATTGGGATTGCCTCACTTCCTTGCAGCATCCTACGTGGAACAGGAGAAAATTTACTATCTCAAGCAACTTTGTATGAGAGATCTAAAGACTGCTTTTTTTTCTGGGGGGGGGGGGCATCGCCAATCTGGTTTCTCACTGCTTATTTCTTCCTATTTATCTAGGCTGAGCATCAAGAGGCAAACAGTTCTCTAAGTCTCCCTCTGGGTCTACTGACTAGGAATAAATAGAACCTTCAGAACAGCCCTGAATCCAGAAATTAGGCATGATTAGGACTTTCAAGGTTCCAAGGCTTCTTCACAATAGGTCAGATAGATTTCTTGGTATGGATTCCTTCCCCTCCAAGGCCAGTCAAGAACCCACTGTTCTTTAACAAAATTTCTGAATCTAAAAATTTTGAAATGTGTTTATCTCATAGCTGCTTATAGAATACCAACAGAATTCAAATATCTGATCTCTAATAAGTTTAAATTGAGATAACTAGTGGTTAATGAATGTGAGGGAGAAGGAGAAAGCTTTTATTTTTCATTCTACAAGAGTCATAATTAGAGAGAAACCAGCAGATCTATAGACTGCAAAGTCTAGTAACATACATTAAAGAAGCAGAATAGGACCTGAATTCTTTTTTTAAGTCAGGTACTGCTCATCTGTCAATAACACTAGCAATACCTGCAGACTTAATTGGGGAAGCCCACCCAGTACTCAACGAAATTTAAAAAATAAACAAAGCCTCTATATGCTTTGCTTGGAATTGAGAAGGTAGATTGTAACACACCATGAAGGGCATGAATAACTGAGATGTAAATGAAGATTTTAAAGAGAGCTAATATTAAAAAGGAGAGGACAATCCTGGGAAAGATATTCTGGGACCAAGAAAAGATCTTGAACGGAAAGGAGGCAAGTATAGGTAGGAAGCTGTTTTGGAGAATGAGAGAAAAGGAAGCATCAGTTGATAGAAGCTACAGAGAATGGCCACAATTAAAGGCTAAAAAGCCAGGAACAAAGAATTGAAGAAAATTATTCAGGAAGTCAGAAAGAATTTAGAAGAATATGACAGAGGCTTGCTAGAATGCAAGGGAGATCAAAACTAATAAACTGGTATTTCAGTGTCTGTTTCATCCTGAACCCAAGAGGGGAACCTAGAGATCTACAAAGAACCAAGGGACCTTCCAAGGGCTGGGTGGGGCTAAAGGAATGAGTTAGCTATATGGAAGTGAAAAAAAAAAAAGAGAATGTATAATGTCAAATTTATTTAAGTAACTGTAACACCTAAAATTTTCCTGTGGTATACAATTTCTAGACCAAGATTTTCTAGAATTTCAGTAAAATAATTTTGCAATTTAACCAGTAAGTAGGGATTTTGTGCTAAAGACAATACTGAAAAGAGCAACAAGAAGTCAAAAGTAAAAGCCTATGGCCCTAACCTTGTGACCTGTAGGGAAGCAGCTTCTGTTTGGTGGTCTTAGTTCCCAACTATCTTCCCAGTATTCCCTCCCTTCTAATTTCCTTACTGTCCTCTGTATAGGCTACCTTCAGCCCTATTTCTTTACCTCATTCCTCATGCCCTTGTTCAGTCATTTTTCAGTTGTGTCTGACTCTTCATGACCCCATTTGGGGTTTTCTTGGCAAAGATACTGGAGTGGTTTGCCATTCCCTTCTCCAGCTCATTTTACAGATGAGGAAAGTGAGGCAAACAGGGTTAAGTGACTTGCCCAGGATCGCACAGCTAGTAAGTGTCTGAGGCTGGATTTGAACTCAAAACAACGAGTCTTCCTGACTTCGGACCCAGCACTACCCATTGTACCACCTAGCTGTGCTTCTTCCTCCTTTAAATATTCTAAATATCAACGACATAAGTGAAAAAAAAAGACATGTTTTTTCTTCATTTTACTTACTATCATACTAAGTTTTATGTAGAAACTCTAATAAATATTCAAAGTTGATTTTAAACAACTGGTTAAGTTAGAAGGATATGTTTCTTAAATACATAAAAATCTTAATAGGCAGAGATGAAATAATATCTTGCATCTTAGATTTTAAGTACCACAAAGTCTAGGCTTTTTTCCCCTACAAAACTTTTTTTAGGATGATAATGGCAATGGATTATTTTTTTTTAAGATTATAGTCATCTACAATTATATTTTCCTCCTTTAAAAGGCATAACCAGGTCAACTTGTTATTGTTAATCTATCAGAGCACATTTTCAGATGACCAAGTCAACTATAAAATATCAATCAAATTAAATAACTACAAAACTTCAAAAAGAGAAATTCAAATGCTAACCAACCTGATTACTTACTGAAAATCAGAAAATTGATAGAGATTTATATTTAGATATCTAGAACTACATTATATAAAATCTAGTATAAGAGAGCTTATCTAAGCATGTAAAATGGAGTGGCTATGAAATCATTTCCACAAACCACAGACTAACTTCTCCTTAAGTATTAGCTAGAAACATTCCAATAGCTATGACAGCTTTATTCCTCACATCTGGCTGAAGCATTCTCAATTTGAACACATTTAGAACAATTTATTTATTTTAGTTGACACAGAAGTATGAGAAAATCAGAACTCTTGAACTAGAAGGGACTGCTGAAATCATTTGGTTGGGTATCCTCTTTTATTTTTTAATAGCAAAAATGTTTATTTGGCAATAAGGTGGTAACAACTGAGAATATTGAGTAGAATTATATTCTGGAAGTTTTAGATAAGTAATACAAAGCAACAAAGATTATAGAAGTTCCCAGGATCATAGATTTTAGGTCAGACACTATCCAGTTCTTCTAGTCTGATGCTCTCATTTTATAGTTCAGGAAACCAAGGTCCAAAAAGGTTAAGCGACTTGCTCAAGGTCACACAGATGGTTAAAAAAGAAAGTCAGTATTTGAACCCAAGTCTTCAGATTCCCAAACTAGCATTCTTTCTACTACAGGATGTGTGATATCTTTAAAAGTATACGAAGAAAATCTAGGGAAAACAAAAAACAACTTTCCCCCCTGAATAGCCAAATATTTCAGATACACACACATACCCCTATTTCAATGTCTCACTGTGGTATGGAAGTGGCTCTGGAGTGGTACAGGATTTGGTTGTGTCTGGTTTTTTATATTGCATTAATACAATTTTTTGATACAACAGGCACTTCTCAACAAACATCCAAAGAAACCTCCCTACAAAGCATATTCTTCTCCCCAAAAACAGTTAACCAATTCCAACCCTCTCATTTTACAGAGAGGAAAATTGAGGAAGAACGCAGTTGTCTTCACTGGTGGCAGTGCTGGAACTAGTACCCACATCTTTTGATTCCCAGTCAAAGGAAATGCCTAACAGGATTTGGCCACAATTCAAAGAGTGGAAAGGACCAAAAATTTGAAGAGTCCCTAACCCTCATCCCAGAAGGTCATTCCTGAACTCAACAGCTTCCTTTAACACAGCCATACTTAATACATGATTCCTATTATTTCAGAAATTATCAATAAATACTCTTCTTATGCAATAGAAACAACATGAAATCAATATCTGCTAGTATATTATTAATGATCAACTTTTCAATGCTACTCTCAAAAGGTCTATGATCAGTAAACTAGAAGTACAAAACTGGCCCAATTCATTGTGAAGGAGAAAATACATTCCATCTACATGAAAAGCAGGAAGTGAGGAAACTTATTTTAAATAAAATGAAAGCTATTTTGTTCACTTTTTTTAATCCTTTCAACAGTACTTAAGCCTAATGGAAAGAGTCAATGTAACTCGGTTTTCTAAAAGATTTTCCATCAGTCAAACATACCCTTAAATTGAATATCATCAAGTCCAAATTTCAAAGCTTTAAACTGGTTTAAATGGTTTAAACTGGTTTAAACGGAATCTTATCAGACTTCAGTCACTACTTAAAATCTTGGAAAAATAAAGCTCATACATTCAGAAATGAAAAAATTAAATAGTTTTTGAAAGGCACAATTCAAAACAACATTGTAATTGTTATTAAAACAAAACCTTACTTGTCTGGGTTTTTCACTCTGAATGTTGCATTAAGAGCTTTTAACCTGGAGTCTGCCTGGAAAAAATAATTTGTTAACTCAATTACAATTATATTTCAGGGTATAAAATCAAACAGTTTTACTTTCCTTCTAGAATTAGATGCTAAAATAAAATGTTCTTTGTATCACAGTGTCAAATACATTTGAACAAGTGAACAAATCTCACAAGGAAAAGAATTTTGTCATTAAGCTTTTCAGAAACAACATAAAAACAAGAGCGTAAACTAGGCATTTGTGAATGCCAAAGAAATGGTACAGCCCAGTAAATACAGTACTGGGAAATAGCTCTACATTATTCTCAGGTGATATAACAGAGTGTAGGCCACAGAGACAAAGTAGTTTATTACAAACCAAAAGGATATGAAGCTCTTTCATTTTTGGGTTCCAGGATTTTAGGAAATAGAGGAGCGTGTGAAAACAAGCCTCGCTAGCAAACTCTATGAGGCACCCAATATATATATTTTTTAAATCAAGACACAAATTCCTTTTTAACAAACGTAAAGTGCTATGAAGCACCACAAATTATGAACTGTCTCCAGTTAGAAAAGATACATAAAACCAATCCTCCAAATAATAGTTTCTTTAACTGAAAGATTCACACTCAATAAACTCTTACAAGAAGCTACTCTAATGGTTGAAAAGCTAATAATGGGTTCAGAAAATGGATAATGAAACACACCTTCCAACTTTTAACATGGAGGTGGGGGACTCCTTGGGCAGAGTATTATATATACTATCAGACCTGGACACTATATTCTTTGTTTTTACTTATCTGTTTCTTTGTTACAAAGGAGGATTCAAAACTAGGGGAAGGGGGAAAGAATAACTAGAAATAACCACGATAAAAAAATAAAAAACATCAACAAAACTTTTCTTTAAAAGAAGCAATGACTTTGATGGTATCTACAGCAGAAGCAGGAATCATGAGGAGTACCAAATAAAAAAGTTAGTTTACTCATTAATGCCAACAGATTCGTTAAGAAACAATGATAAAAATCCCAGTTGGAATAAAAATCTGCATTGGCACTACCCACATTTACCAATGTCATACTTTTATCCAATTCAACCATGTCTTACTAGTGTTACTGAAAAGCATCTCCCTGTAGCAAACATGTTCATTTGTAGAGATTCCCAGAAAACCAAACCAAAGGGAGTTAAAATAAGAGAAATTATCCTCAGGTTGTCATTGATTTTGCTGGTTTCTTCTTCTGAGATCAGGCTATTCACTGGCCTTCCTCACCTCAGAAACTTAATGGAGACTTACTTCAATACTTCAAAACTCTGTGGTTTGTTGGTAAGAACACTCCCTTCAATGACACGTGTTGCAACCTCTCTTTCACTTGGAGATGAACTTTGAAAGTTGTGGTTGTCAAAAAAAAATCACCCAGCAGCTAGCCTGGTGATGAGGCTCTCAAATCTGGTTAGGTTGCAGCTCAGACAAAATACATGTACATACAATTTGGAAACAAGTGAAAATAAGACTACAAAAAATTTAAGAGAGTTAGGACTATCCTGTGGTCTGTAACTAAATACACAACAAGAACCAAAGGGCTTCACAAGTCAAGACACTAAAGACATTCGCTTTAATTTTTTTGGTGGGGGTTGGGGGGGATGTCTGGGCCTATGACTTCATCAATGTATGGAACTTCCAGCGTAGAAACTCTGTCCACCAAAGCAGAATGGCAAGTGGTCTGTTAACTTAGTTTTATATAATTGACAGTGGTCACACATATCAGAAGCAAGTCTTGAACCCAGGTTTTCCTGAATCTTCCAAGAGCGGTTAGCTGTCTCTCACATCCTAAGAATGAGAGTCAGTGTATGTCAGTGTATGTCAGGTTTTCCTGAATCTTCCAGGAGCGGTTAGCTGTCTCTCACAACCTGAGAATGAGAGTCAGTGCATGTCAGGAAAAAGGCCATTCTCTTGTTCAACCCTCTACTCACTAGATTATGCTATCTTCATACAAATAGCAGCTTACCAAGATGGATAAGCCATAGATAAAAAATTGGGGGAAAAAATACAGTAGATATTTGTAGAGTGACAGTGGATAGAACTGACTGCAAAGCCAGAAAGATCTAGGTTCAAGTTCTACCTCTGACACCGACTGACCGGCTGTGTGATCCTGGACAGTCATATGACTTTCTCAGGGCTCTAGGTAACTCTCCAAGACTAAATTGCAGAGAAAGTGCTGACCTGAATTGGTCAAGGGAGTTTCTTCTACTAGTCAAATCACAGATCCATCCCAATCCCTATCTTTCGTGAATCTAATATTCTTTGGCATCAAATTACTGAGCCTTTCACTGAAGCAAATCACATAAAATATAAAAAACAAATCAAACACAATCACTTAATTTTATATATTCCATCTATTCTCTCCCCATCCACTCCCATTCCTCTGCCTCTGAAACATTCCTAACAAACTTATCACAAGACTTTAAACATCCAAATCTTTATTCTAACCCTTTTTGGATAGAAATTTTTCTAAATGTTTTATGCACTTACCTGTTTCTTAAATTGAGCATACTGAATATAACTTAATCTTTCATAATGGTTTGAGAATATGCTGGGCTTTAAATACAATTAGAACCTCAAAGGCTATTGAGGTATGAAGAGCTATTCTCTCTACACTAAAAGGCACTAGTCTATATTATTTTAATTAATATCTACTTTTTATACTTTTTTTGTTTCTTCTCTTGTAATCAAGGCGTTAACTGTCATTTCTATTTTATTTTATTTTTTATTTTATTTTTCAATTGGGCAATGGGGGTTAAGTGACTTGCCCAGGGTCGCACAGCTAGTAAGTGTTATGTGTCTGAGGTCAAATTTGAATTCAGGTCCTCCTGAATCCAGGGCCAGTGCTCTATCCACTGCACCACCAAGCTGCCCCACATTTTTATTTATTTTTTTTTATTTCAGTTAGCTGTCATTTCTCACAGCTGTACATGTACCTGCCTCTATAGGTACCTACCTGATTTTACTTCTAATTTGCTGCTTCTAATTAACTAACTAAACAAATTAGTGAGCTTCTTAGTACTATGCTTATATATGAGCAAAGAGTCTGAGAGAGTGCTCAAGAGGCTATCCCAAAGAGCAAAGTATGTTATCTTTATGGTGTCTATTTTGACTACACTTTTGCTTACTTCCTAATTTTTGGTCACATTTAGGATAATTGAGGCTGTCAAATAAGTGACTAATATTATCATATACAAATATAGGTATGTTCAGAAAGGATGCACTTTCTGAAACAGTAAAAATTTAACATCTTTCTGAGGGAAGAGAGCTAAAATAAAAACAATGAAGAATAAAATCAGGAATACACCAAGATATTTACATTTCTCAGTCTCATGTATCTCTTTAGTCTTTGTCACAATCTCTTTAAAAAAGTAATTTTATAAATTATGCAGTAAATTTAGTGCTGCCTTTCCCAGATATTTTTAAAGTTCAAACTGCATTATTACTCTAAGACTTGCCTAAATATCAAATGTCATATTTAAATTATTTAAAACAAAAAAAGTTGCTCCATTTATAGAATTACATATTTGGCATTTACAAGATTCCAAATGTATTTTACACACAAATAACAAAAATTTTTGATAGGATTTTTGTGACATCTTAGTAATAGGTAGTTAGCTAGAATCAAATCCTGAATACTAACTTTTTAGATGAAGCACTAACAGAATACTTTTAAAAGCAAATAAATGCATACGAAGTACTTTTTACTTATGCCCTTTTGTATTAGTCTCAAACATATTATAAATATTTCTACAGAATACTTATCAAAATAATATATTTCTGAAAGTTTAAGATTTCTTTAAATCCATCCCTTAATTAAAATGTACTTATTCTGGCATTCTCATAGATGATTTTCAAAAGACAGTATAGAAACTGATGTATAAAGTGGGCAAGATTTCTTTTTTTTTAATGTGCTTTGAGAAAGTGAATGATTTATAAATTAGAATAAGTCTGAGTAATAACAGGAAGATTTAGAATTAATGAGTTTTCCCCCTTTACAAAATTTAAGTCAGATAAGAACTTTATATACCAACTCAAAATCAGGAAATTGGTTTTAAAGAAAAGTATTGCAGAATTATCACATCATTTATATATAAATTTTTCTTTCTTATTTCTATCACTCTGCTAAATTTCTAACACACTACTACTATATATGAACATTATACTTGTTGGCATTATGGGGTCTTTTCCTTTTTTCAAATTTAACCAAATCAGCTAATAAAAGACATTTAAATTCTTATTCTTGGATAATAACCAGGGTTAGACTAGTTCAACCTATGATGTAAGGCACTCTCAAGATGACTAGGGGGCAAAGTTTCTAGGCTGAAGACATGGGAAGATGCTAAGAATCAGTGAAACAATAAGTTTTCTTCATTTTCTGTAGTTGTGAATTTAGAGCCAGAATGAAGTAAAGTTAGCATTGGGCCACCAATAATCGCCTCAATTTTTTGCTAGCACAATCTGACCGTGATGACAACCTAAAATCTCTTTTCAGAAATATACATACACACATACATATGAGAGTATGTGTATACAAGTATGTATGTGGGAGGCGGGGTTCATGTGCCATTTATTTCCCTCTCTCTACCTAAGCTGCATTAATAACATGTTCCAAAACGCCTGTGGGACCTATCCCAAACATAAAATCTAATGACTAGATGGAAAAACCCAAGAAGGCCTGAATTTGCCTAGGTCACCAAGAAAGTCTTAATCTAAAATTAGTAGAATGTCTTTTTTAGGAATCGCTTCTTTAAGCTTTCATTATATGCAGAAAATAATAGCAATGTGCCAGTGGACAGATGAAATGAGACTAAGATGACTTATTTGTACCCTGCTGAGGATGTAAAGCCAGACCATGTCCTATAAAAATTTTTTTACCTTCCATGAAGAGTTTGCTATGGATAGGACTTTAATAATTAGAATTAAAAAAAAAAGGGACATGATTGTTAAACAAAAGGTCAACATGTACTAAAAACAATGAACTGTAGTGAGAAAAATTCTTCACTGCTTTTCAACTATTTCCTGATAGGACTAAATTCCAGATACGGTCTTAACACAAACAAGTAACAATGCAAATATGCAAAGAACTTCATTGATGTTACTTTTAAATTTTTACCAAAATGCTAGGTATAAAATCTCTCTTGTTACAAAATTAATTCACAATTATTACCTTTAGCTGGAACCCTGTTTCATTCACTGTCTCCTTCCAGTTATTTTCCTAAAAAACAAAGCTATATTTTAGTTGTCATAATTATTACAAAACAAACCAAAAACACACAGTGCTAATACTTCAAGCAAAAAAAAAAAAATTCTTCCCAGGAAGAGGTAGTAAAAAGAAAAATCCCAGAGCAGGTAGGTAGCGCAGTGGATAGACCACTTCCCCTGGATTCAGGAGGACCTGAGTTCAAATCCAGCCTCAGACACATAACACTTACTAGCTGTGAGACCCTGGGCAAGTCACTTAAAAAGTACTTGTTACTTGAAAAAAAAAAAAAAAAAAGAAATCCTTGATTTAAAAATTAAACACTCTATCACCATCCAGATTCCAAAAGAACCTCTTGAGGAAGACCCAAATTCTTATAGATCTATATTCTAAATGACTGCATCAGGAAAAGCAGGAGACATAGAATATTTTCTATTAACTAGGCAATATTAATAAATACCTTCAGTAGTTCAAGGAACTCAAAGCTTCAGCAAAAAACAATGATGCAGTACACTCATAAAAAAAAAATCACCCAGGCAAAGATGCTTCTAAATGTCTCCAGAAAATAAAAGGACTAAATGTGATGCAAAATAAAATACCTGTGTTAAAAACAAGTAGAAAATTTTGTCTTCAGAAAGGACAGAATGGGAAGCCACTCTTAAAAGAAAATTTTCCAAACCAACTCTTCGTCTTTCCACAAAATCAGGATCCATGTTGTCTGCAGAGAGTTTATGCCAAACAAATTCTGCCTATGTAAATAAATCAATTACTAATTAAGAATAGCTTCAAAGCTAAATAGAATTAAAAGCAAAACCAAAAGAATATACTCTATAAATGAAGTTTAAATAAACTCTATAAATGAAGTTCACTTTAAATATCAATACAACTCGGGTCAAAACACTGGACAACAATGGCACCAACCTCTAAAGTAAACATACATCCTTTCTTTTAATCAATGGTAAACTACTAAGGTGTAAAGATGTATATACCATCAGTCAAGCTCACTTGTTTATGCTCACCTGCTGTACTGTTTTGGGGGATGGTACACTGTAAGGGAAGCAACTCAGAATACGCTAGGGTTTTAGATAACGTGTCAAGACAAAATTTACCAAAAAGAATGAAATGGAAATATATGTTACAGAAGCAAAACACTATCAACTTCTTACCCTCTTTTCAGGCAGAGGTGGGACAACAATATGTGGATAGTAAACTAGCAAATAGTTTCTCAATAATTCAAACTCGCTATACCGTCTCCAAAGAGAGTCTGTAAGAACACTCTGGCCATCACTTGGTTCAACTGATCTAAAAAGGAAATAAAAAAGGGAATGTTAAAAAAAAGATAACTTCAGAACTTACCACAAAACCCATTTGAACTCATGTGAGACAAAACCTCAAAAAAAAAGTTAATAAGGACTCCTTAATAAAGACATTGTAAAATACCCTTAAAAACAACTCAGTTAATCTAAAAGAATAGATTTCAGAATATGGTAAAAGCTCATTTATCTAGAGTTCTTTCCATGGATGTCTCTATCACTAGAGCAAAATAATTATAACTGACTTTTATAAAGACCAAGATAATTTCAAATTGGGATTTCAAAATCGCAATTCAAATAAACCCAATCCATGAAAATACACAGTTCTAGCAAAGTGTTAAAATAACTTTCAAAAGAGATAATCAAAGTTCAATTCTAACTTTACCCAATATCCAGGTCAAGCTATCTATATATAGACATATTTTTTTTTTAAATGGTACAAATCACTAATAAATAGAGAAATGAAGGCTAAAGCAACTCAGAGGCTCCACGTCACAGCTAACACAGTGGCAAATTGACGAAATGATAAACATTGGAGGGGCTGTATGAAAACAGGTATAAAGATGTGATGCTAGTAGAGTTATGGATTGGAATTGCCATAGTGGAAAGCAACTGAGAACTATGACCAAGATGTTCCTAGAGTGTGCATATCTTTTAACTAAGAAGTACACTACTAGGCCTGAACCTCAGAGATCAAAGAAAGAGGAAAAGGTCCCATGTGTAAAAAAATATTTATAGCAGTTCTTTTTTGTAATAGCAAAGAACTGGAAACTAAGGAGGTATCCACTGGCTAGGGAATGGCTGAACAAATTTTAGTGTATTAATGTAATGGAAAATTATTGGGCTGTAAGAAATGATGAAAGAGATGATTTTAGAGAAACCTGAGAAAACCTGTATGAACTCATGCACAGAGTGAAGTAAGTAGAACCAGGAAAACAATTTATATCATAACAAGACCATAAAAAATGAACAATTTTTAAATTTTAAGTTTAAGAAGGTTAACGGTATCCTATAGAAACTTAAGAATTCAGACCAACTCAATGATCAGTCATGACATATCTATGATGAATAATACTACCCACCTCCAGAGGTGATGGACTACATAATGCAGAATGAGACACACATTTTTACTTGGCCAATATGGACATTTGTTTTGCGTGACTATACGTACTTATGAAGGAGAAGGTGGGGAGAAAAAAATATGTATATGTGCATGCATACACAAACACACACACACACACATATTAAAAATAAGCCATGGAATAAAACAGAAATCTTGTTATGTAAATTAAAGCAATACATTTAAAAAATAACAATAAACAATAAAATGGGAAAAACAAAGACTATAGCTTCCGTATTACAAACATATAAAAGTTCTTAATATACAACCAGTCTTAAAAAATATTCTCACAAAGTTCAGTTGACAGCAGGTTTAGGTTTTAAATACATCTGGGCTAACACCAAGGTCAAATTATTTCATTTTGGTGCCAACAGGATTCACATTTGCCACACAGCCAAACAGATAGTATATATTATGACCCAGGAACATTACACTTGAGATACAGTATGTCTGCTTTAGAATGCTAATTACAAATAGATTAAAAACATATAAATTATAACTAACTCTTATAGCACTATGTACCCTAAGGGAATCTTTTTTAAATGGACTCTACACTTAGCTGCATTTTATTTAAACTGGTAAGAATAAGTCCTTAGTAAACTGTTCATGCAGCTTCCTATCCACAAAAATTGTGTACTGGGGTAGGAACAGGCAAGTTGAGGTTTGCCATTAGAAATATGAACACAAGGGAAAAAAACTAGTGAAGAAAACTTAGCAGTGGGTTACTGTAGCTGTTCATTCATTTAACATTTACTGAATTATGTATAAGATTCAAACAACATTGTGCTAACCTTTAGTTATTTTAGGATGAACATTAAATAGTTTTTTTCCCTATACAGGATATCATTAACCTTCTTAAACTGCTTCCCCCTCCTAATCTGGAGACAGTATACACATCCAGTTTCTAACAAATTTCAACAGCTTACTCAGTGGAGCAAGCTCCTATCCCTATATCCTCCCTACTTCCCTGTTACTTTAGGTACTTTCCTCACTCTCACACTTACCCGAAGAGAACGCTGGATTTAGAAATCAAAAAACCTGGCTGAAAATCACAACTCTGCTATGTCTATTAACATGGGAGTATTTAGGTCCTATACAAGTACCAACTTATTTCTTAACATCCAACATATAAATTAACATGAACAAAACATTCTGTACCATCTTGAGACTGAGAAGAAAAAGAGAACAAAAATGATTCTTCAGACCACAGCATTTCCTTCTTACTGGGCAGCCAAGGGTCAGTGTAGGGTTTCACTCAAGAGACGTTTCAAGTATTTTTCTAGTGAATTCCTTTCCTATTAGCCTGTCAACTTAAATGGTATCAAACCTATACATAGGGCAGTATGGTACAACAGAAAGAGCACTAGCTCCGGAGTCAGAGGACCTGGATTCAAATCCCGACACTGACAATTACTGTGGGAGAGTCATTTAACCTCTTAGGTCCCTTCCAGTTCTAGACATGACACTATATCATAGGTTGAATCTCTTTGTAGGTTAACCAGAAAACCCAATCATCTTTTGTATTATTACTATAGAAAAAAAATGTGTTCTAAATTAAAAAAAAAAAACTTTTAATTTTTAGAACACATTTTGGGGATCTTCTACTACCACCAAAAGAATGTATTCTCCAAGAGTTGCTATTTCTTTCAGGAAACACATTAATTAAAAAAGTCTCAGCTGCTTAAAGCCTTAGAGATTTTCCTCCACTATTTCTTTAGTTTTTACCTTTTTGTCACAACCTAAGCCCTAGTCAATCTCTATTTGTTCCTATAAATTTCTACCTTGCACACTTTAAGACTTCTATTTGTAAGCTGGTCCATGCTCCAACGGATGACCCTAGCACACTTTCACATACGACCGGAATCAGGTTTGAGCAAAGTATGTATATGTCAAAAGACTATGTCCTCATATAATCCACTCTACACAAACCAAAAAAAGGAAAACCTTTCCCACAAAACACTAACATTTTGAAAAACGTGCTGAAGCATTAGGAACAAATTCAAATAGTTAATTGAAATATTATATCTGAAAAAGATGCTTTTTTGTTAAACACGACTTGCAACTTTTATAACCCACCTTGTCTCAATGAGGTAAGCTGTATAAGTTTCTTGCATGTTCATGGCATTTCTTCCAGTCCTTTTTTCTGCTTCTGAAACAGTAATTTCAACTTTCTTCGACCAAAAACTACCTCCTGTCATCTAACCAAAACCAAGGGGAAAAAATAAAATTTTCACAATGGTAACAAAGAAAAACAAACACATAATGCAGGAACAAAGTGAAGCCATTTTTGAGACTTAAGTATAAAACCTTTCAGATTATAAGCATAAATTTTTCAGACTAGTTTGTTTTGTCTTTTATAAGAATAATTCTTATGCCCTTGTTTTTGGCTGATAAACTATTAGCTCTTCTCCCTTCCCCATCCACTCCTCTCTCTTCTCCTTTCCTTTCCTCTCTTGTCCCCACGTGGGGTATCATGGCCTTACCTGAGGGTGTTCTGCCCAAAGGAAGGTAAATTTTGATGGTTGAAACCTACCCAGTTATCTTGAGGTTTACTGCCTAGATTTCTTTCTTAAAGACCATGCCTTAAACCCAATGCACTCTGGTTCTCATAGACTGGCCAACAATAAGTCCCTGCCCAAGCACCACTTAATGGTTATTTTGGGGCCCTGACAGCTCAGAGTGAAAGTAAATAGTAATTGTTTCTCTTTGGCTAGTAACCCTGAGGGTCTTCCCCGCCCAGTTTGGTCATCCCTCGACTTCACTTCTTAAACAGGCCTAAACAGGCCTTGCCTCACTCAAAGTGAGAACCAGGAAAGACCTATGCTTAAAAAGTCCAAGGTCTCCTACTATCCTGGGCCATCTCCAGTACTCTTGATCTAGATCGAGCCAGACCCAGAAGCCTCTGGAGGAGAAAATGAGGCTGGTGACTTTGCATAGCCCTCCCTCACTTAAATCTAATTCAGATGCAAGTCATGTCACCATCTTCTTGATGTCATGGTACTCTTCAAGAATGAAGAATCAACCACACACACACATTAGCACTTGGCAGTTATATTACTATCATTAATGGATTAGACATACAATAAATTTTTTTGAAACCTAATTATCACTTACCATGTTTTCAGTTACTAAAATTAAATGATTCAAATCACTGACCAAAATTAGAAATCCTCTTTATTGCTATGAAAGTGTACATAAAAATGTATAAATCTTCCTTGGCCTAATCAAAGTTGGTAAGATTTGTGACACAGTATTTACAAATGATAAATGATTCTTATAAGTATCAATTTTAAACTTATTAAAGCAATTTATCTTTCCTCACAACAACTACAACAAAAGCTGGGACTCGCAGAAGTTCAGATAAAAACCATATTCACCAGAAAAGAAGGTTTTCCCCTACTCTCCACAAATAGCATAACAATCAGGGTAGTCTTACATTCCAGTTAAGTTTTTGCAAATTGTGCTGCAACAGTTAACAGGGATAAGTCACTGCACCCACTCTGGGCATCCTGTCCTCTGCTCTCCCCATTCTGAAATTCTAACTGGTGAGTATAAATTCAGCCAACCCACTGTATCTTCCTTGGAACTCTCCGACACACGTTCCTTTCCCAGGAAACTCATCATTAGGAAATTTCATTATCTGTAAGATTGAGTACAACTGGTTGCATCAGTACCCTCAGCCCTTTTGATAAGACCTTCTGCCTGGAGGGCAAGGCTTGGCAAAGAGTAGGCACTTAATGAATGTGTATTGACTGACTGTTATTGCCAACAGGAGGTACAAAGGTACAAAGGCATAGCAGTGGGAGATGCAATGTCATGCATGAGGAACCACAAGATGGTCAATTTGGATGGATCACAGTATCTGTAGAGAGCAATAATGTTCAACAAGGCTAGAAAGGTATGTGGGTTAAGGGTGTGAAAGACTTTAAATGCCTAACAGGAGTATATTTGATCCTGAAGGTGATCAATGAATGAATGAAAGAAAATTAATTTCTTAAGTGCTCAGTATATGTTAAGCATTGTACCCAACACTTGGAATAAAAACAGAAAAAGCTAGATAGTCCTTCCTCTCAGAGTTCACAATTGGTAGAGACAACACATAAAAAACTGGCAAGGCACATGAAAAAGCCCTTAAGTCCTAAGGTTACAATAGCAGATCAGAGGGCAAGGCCCAGGAGTGTTTAGGAAATAGAAGCAGGGCAGGATCTGCAGGACCTTAGGAGGCAGTGAAAGGCCAAATGCTAAGCCCAGTAAACCATTACCTGAAAGATCAGAGTTGGTAACTCCCATCTAATCTAAACCATAACAAGTAAAGGAAGGACGACTCCCTCACCCTCTAATGGTGGCAGATCTTCTGGCCCCTAGCTGTCCAAGATAGGTCCTGGGAAGTCACTAGTGGAAGGTATCCATTAGAATTTACTAAGTAAGGGAGTGACATGGTCAGTCTTGCATTTTAGAACAGTCAATCTGGCAACAGTGTGAAGGATGGATTGCAATTAGGAGGTTATGAAAATTGCCTAGAGCACTGCCCTCCAGAGCAAGATGGACCGCAATCCAATCTCACAGCCAATCATGTGTTTGTCTCTTAACACAACTACACCCCTCCATATACGCCATCACTCAATGTTCCCCCACTCTGCCCCCTCTCACCACTGGCCTCTAGTTCTAATCTAATTAGGACCCCGGCACCTACAAAATGCAAAATTCTTTGGTTCCCACCATCATCTCTATACTGTTCCCTTCAGATCACCTCATGGCTACAGCAGGCACCATTGAGTAGGTGGGCTCTGTGCTCTGGGGCTTCTGATGGGAGAGCATGACCATCCTTCTAAGCTCCCAGCTTTTACCACCTTGATATTATCCTTGACTCCTCACTATCCCTTACCCCTACAAACTGTATGATTCACCAAATCTTGCTATTTCTACCTCCATGACATCTCTACTATCTATCCACTTCTCACTGCTCAAAATCCACCAGTTCCTCATTACCTCACCTGGATTACTGCAAAAGCCTCTTAATTGGTCTCCGTACCTCAAATAGCTCTCTTTTCCAATCCATCCTCAACAAAGCCACCAGTGTTTTCTCCTAAAGTTCAAGTTTAACCACATCACTGTTCTACTCAAACTCCACTGGCTCTGAATTGACTCTAGGATCAAATGCTAAAATAAGTAATAATAATAAACTTTACTTCATCCTTTAAAATTTTTTGCTTTTTGTCAAAGTTTTGTAATCTACATAACTATGAGAATTATTACTATATAAATTTTAAAATGAGTAAACATAAATACGTTGACAGTGCATACCAATATGAGTGAGCAATCAAAACATTTTGGATACCACTGGTCTAGGTGAAAGGTAGAAAGGGCCTAAACTAGAATGGTGGCCATGTAAGTAGAGGAAAGGCAACAAAAATGACATTGAGAAAGAAATGACAACATTTGGCAACTGAATGGATATATGGGGTTTGTGAAAGTAAAAAGTCAAAGATGACACTAAAGTTGTAAACTAAGAATGGTAGAGCTCTCAACAGAAATAAGCAAGTTTAAAAGAGAGGTAGATTTTAGGGAAGAGATAATTAATTTAGTTTTGGACATGCTGAGTTGGAGATGACTATGCGAATTCCGCTCTGAAATGTCCAACAGACAGCTAGTGCTGTGAATAAATTAGTTCAACAGAGACACAAGAGTTAGAAATATAAATCTGGAAATCATCAGTATAGAAATGGCAATTAAACCAACCAATGTTAAGCCAATAAGGCCACCATTAGAGAATGCAGAGAGAAAAGGCAGATCAGGAGAGAAACCTAGAGCATATCCACAATTAGGAGTTACAGTACAGTGATGCATAGAAAGAAGTCTGAAAAGCAGGAAGAGAACAAATATACAGCAATTATGAAGACCCTGGGAGGAAAGAGTACCTAAAAGAATGTTAAATGCTACAAAGGAGTCAAGAAAGATGAAGACTGAGAAAAGACCATCATATTTTGCCATTAAAAGAATAATCATGACATTGGGAAAGTCAGTTTCAGTTGAGTGAGATCAGATGCTAGACTACAAAAAGCTTAGAAGAGCATGAGAGTATAAAGCCTGTTCAAAGAATCTGATTGAGAAAGGAAGAATACATATGGTGAGGGAAAGAGGGAGAACAGTGAAGACAATCTGCCAAGGAAGATGAAAGAGGTGGGATCAAAGTGCCATGTTGATGGGCTGGTCTTGGAAAAGAGAATAAAGGATGATACCAAGGAGTTATGAGATGAAGAGAAGAGGGGTGAGCACACTCAATGGTCTCTCCCAGCCCCACGCCCCAATCTTACATGGATCCTGCTAACCTCTCAAGCTCCTACCCATTCCATTTCTCTACCCACTTTTCATTGCCAAACTTGTAAAAAGTATATCTATAATGCCCACTAGCTCATTATCCATCTACTTCTCAACCTCATTCTCCTAGTCATCCATGTTCAAAACATCGGTTATCTTTGGATATAAAGGATGAAAAGAAATAACCAACTAGTTGCCAAATGCTGTTGATTCATTCTCCAAAATCTATTAAATCTGTCATCATCTTTCTATTTTCACTGTCAACACCCTGTTGTAAACTCTGTAAACTTGAGGAAATAATCTTGAGCCTAAGAGGAGGGGAAATTAGTGACTGCTCCCTACACCACCAACCGTCCTTTCAGCCAGGCCTCACACAGATAACACTGAAAGGAGCAGCTCTTGTGGAGAAGGAATCTTCCATCCCTGCCATCACCAAGTGAACTGTCACCTGCAGGTAAATCCAGAGCCCTGTGAATGGCACCGCCCTCAGATTATCAGCCCAGCCCCAAAAGCTGTTTATCCAGGGGAACAATCCTTGTGAAGGGGCTTGCTCTCCCCTACCATCACCAAAACCAACTGCTAATTACAAGCATTGCTCCTCTTCAAAAATGAAGGATAAACAACAAAAAACAAGCAGGCGCGGCAACCCCAACCTCCTCAGCAGCTACAGTTACCTAAGACCCCCAAAAGAAAGTTTTCATGATCAAAGTCCTCAGCACTGTCAAACAGTTCAACATCAGAGCCCAAGATGGTTTTATTGGTGTAAATGAGAGTAAAGGAAGATGCATTACCATTTGCTTTGCCACTGCACCCTGCAGACCACTGGCAGGGCCTTTTTATCTGATTTCTAGCAGAAACCTCCTCATGTGTTATCTCTCCT